CTATTTTGTATGTGTGCAACTGATTGTTCCTTCCAAAATGCAGTACTTTGCATTTGTCCTTATTGAATTTCATCCTATTTACTTCAGACCATTTCTCCAGTTTGTCCAGAGCATTTTGAATTTTAATCCTATCCTCCAAAGCACTTGCAACTCCTCCCAGCTTGGTATCATCTAAAAACTTTATGTGTACTCTCTATGCCATTATCTAAATTGTTGATGAAGATGTTGAACAGAACTGGATCCAGAACTGATCCCTGGGGGACCCCACTCATTATGCCCTTCCCACATGACTGAAAACCACTGGGATAACTACCTTCTGGGAATGGTTTTCCAACCAGTTATGCAGCCACCTTATAGTAGCTCCATGTAGGTTGCATTTCCCTGGTTTTTTTATGAGAAGGTCATGCGAGACAGTATCAAAAGCTTTACTAAATTCAAGATATACCACATCTACCACTTCCCCCCATCCACAAGGTTTGTTACCCTGTCAAAGAAAGCTATCAGATTGTTTGACACGATTTGTTCTTGACAAATTCATGCTGATTGTTACTTATCACCTTATTATCTTCTAGACATTTGCAAATTGATTAATTATTCGCTCCATTTTCTTTCCGGGTACAGAAGTTAAGATGACTGATCTGTAATTCCCCAGGTTGTCCTTATTTCTCTTTTTATAGATTGGCACTATGTTTGCCCTTTTCCAGTCTTCTGGAATTTCTCACGTCTTCCATGTCTTTTAAAAGATAATCGCTAATGGCTCAGATATCTCCTCAGTCAGCTCCTTGAGTATTCTAGGATGCATTTCTTGAGGCCCTGGTGACTTGAAGACATTTAACTTGTCAAAGTAATTTTTAACTTGTTCTTTCCCTATTTTAGCCTCTGATCCCACCTCATTTTCACTGGCATTCACTATGTCAAAACAGCAGAGACAGGAAAGATGTAGTTTAAATTTAGAGTGGAAAATTCCAGTAGGTTCCAACAGCGTATGTTTTTCTGACAGAAACTTTCATTTCTATTTCCCTGTAGAAAAAGTGTTCTCTTAAATGAAAAACATGCACTGTCTTGAAATGTGACCATCGTATGACTGCAATTGGGGCATTTTTGGGGCCGAGGGTGAAGAGGTAGAGGTGTGTGTGCGCTGGGGACTGAACTGGGGTGGCCAGAGATTTTGTTAAATTAAAAGCGCTATCATAGGTTAATTTAATTGGCATCTACGTTTTAGGGTAACAATGCCATGTAATTTTTAAGTCCTGTACCATATTTACTTTACAAATTACACCCGGGCAATAGCACAGGCTTTTAACTGATAGTGTTTTCAATGTATATCACTGCATCTAGCTTTCTGCTGACAGTCAAGATTTGTAATCCGGGGACTACAAGATAGTACTTTGATCAGGAGTAGACTAGGGCCCAGGTTGCCCTTTGAACTTTTTGATAAACTGAGCCTCAAAAAAGGAAGCAAGATAATGCCAGTCATCAAACTATGGATTCCAGAAAGGGAAACTTTAGTCAGAGCTGCTCATAATTCTCAAATGTCCCTCATTTGAAGGAATCTTATTCATTATAATCCCAAGATTACTACAAATTTTGTGTCCACTCTCTTTTATTGCTAAAACTAATTAACAATGAATAAAAAAATATGAAACTGAAGATATAGAAAGAGGTCCTCATATGAAAGGAAGGAATCCCACAGCATTTTAAGTTCTCTGCATGAATAATTTTTGTGTCCCTCTTTTTGAGTCTGTCACATAGTGTTTTTGGGCCTTGATGGGTTAAAAAGTACTGCCAGTCACCCTGGGGCAGGTCCCAGACAGGACACCTTCGGGCACTGCTAGTCACTGGAAAGGAGCATGCAGGTTGCACCGGTGGGGTTTCTTTTCCCCTGTGAGGATATGCAGGCAGTCAGGCCATGCTGCCAAGGGCTCTTTGCAGGGGGGCAGTAGGGTCATGCATTGGGGTGCCAGTGCCCCTGTGTGGGATATGCAGGAGGGTGCCAGGTGGCTGCTGCTGTCCCCGAGGGCTACGCCAGCCATCCAGTGGGCAGCCTGCTGCCACCATGGGGACCCTATCCCAGGGACCTAATTCCAGCTGTCAGCGGGGCGCCCTGGTGGGGGGAGAGGGATGCGCTGGCGCCATCATATCCCTGGACGCCCATCCCGCCCAGAGCCTCTGGAGAGACGCGTCGCGCGGCCGTGACACAGCGCGCGCCAGGCTTCCCCGCCCCGCCCCGGTCTCTGAGCTTTCGCTGCCGGACGGAAGAAGCCGGGACGCACCCTCCTTCCGCCCGGCCTGGCAGACGCTGCTCGGCAGCCGGCGCGTGCAGCCCAATGACCGCGGACATGCTGGACGCGGGGGAAGGTACGTGCCGGGGGGGTCCGGCCCGGGGCTTTCCATCCATGCTCCCGAGCGGGGCGGCCGGCTCGGCTGCTGCCCAGCGCTTTCCTACTAGGGCGGGGCCCTGATCCCGGCCTCCCGTGCCATGCATGGGGATAATGCAATGGGAGCTGCCGTGCAGAGGACCCTGCTGCCGGCAGGGTGGTCAGTGCAGGGCTCCGTAGCTGTGCAGGGGATAACGCTGCTGGTGGTGTCCTGATAGCAGATCAATTCCAGTTCAAGATAATACCCAAAGAACGGCGCATGCAAAGCACTGCTCGTGTAAAGAGCAACGCTTCTTTGCAGGCTGGTGCTGCATGTAGACGATTATCATAGCGGAAGAAACAACACTGCCTTACCGAATGATGTTGCATGCAGTGTATTCTCATACAACAATGGTACAAGAAAAAAATACTCATTGTAGCAATGTATTGCCTACAATAATAGTGCTGGAATAATACATTATAGAGTAATATTGTGTACAGTAATTCTTACACAATGATGATGCAGATACACTAATTGTAGAATAATACTGCATTCAATTTCTCATGTTATAACAATATTGCAAGAACTAATTTTATGCAGTTAGGCATTCAGTAAAATCGATGTAGTAATATTACTAGTTGTAATATTTTTTCTGTGATATTACTAATTCTAAAGGTAAAATCTCTCAGAATATTTGTTATGTAAGTAGTCTCTTAAATGTACATGATGCCTCTATAAAACAAGAAGAAAAACTCCATGGCCCAACTCCCTATAAACAAAAGGTGGGACTTTCCAGGAGGGAGGGAGGAGGAATGGGGATGCTGCGCACTTAGGGGAGGAGGCAGAGAAGAGGTGGGGCTGGGGCAGGGATTTGGGGAAGGGGTTGGAATAGGGGCAGAGAGGGGGCGGAGTTGGGGCAGAGCCTCATGGAAGGGGTGGAGTGGGGGCAGGGCCGGGGGCGGAGGGGGGGGCTTTAACAGAAGTAATTCTAAAAGTAAATGCATGTTTTGTCATTTGAGTGAGGTGTATTACTGAGTGCTTATATTTTATTAAAACCCCTCTTCGCATTACAGTTTTAAAAAGGTTAATACATTGACTTTTAATAGCATACTATATTACTCTTAAAGCTTTTAGTGATGCGGCCCTCAGGCCAATGTAGTAGTCCTCATGTGGCCCTCGTGGTGATTTGAGTTTGAGATCCCTGCACTAAGCCAAGTCAGGAGCCTAGGCTCCCTATACAATGCTCAGGGAGAGAGAGCAAACTTAGAACGCAATGCACAAAAGCTTGCTCACTAGGTGTGGAGCTCCCTAAACTAGCCAGTGGGAGACACCGATGGCAGGGATGTGTCCTAAGCCAGTAGTTCTCAACCAGGGGTATGTGTTCCCCTGGGGCTACTCAGAGGTCTTCCAGGGGGTAGCAACTTATCTAGATATTTGCCTAGTTTTACAACAGGCTACATAAAAAGCATAGCTAAGATGATATCCCTCGGCCCATGCCGCTTCCCGCAGCTCCCATTGGCTTGGAACGGCGAACTGCGGCCAGTGGGAGCTGCGATTGGCCGAACCTGTGGACAAACCATCCCGGCCCGCCAGCAGATTTCCCTGATGGGCCACGTGCCAAAGGTTGCCGATCCCCGAATTAGTGCATGAGTCCTGAAGCGGAGGCGAGTTTGTGCTCAAAGAGAAGGGCAGGGTGTGGAACATGTAGTAAAAAAGAGAGAGGGAAGAAGGCTTCAGATAGAGGATAATTGAGAGAGGAGGAATGAAAACTAAGGTTGAGAATGAGGGCCACATTCTCTTTTCTTGAGATAGGAGAGATTGATTTGCCACCGGGAAAATAATTGCTAATGAAGAGGGATGGAAGTTAGGCCCAAAGTAAGAGTTAAATTGAAGCGTCTATAACTCTGCAGTATGATAATTGCTTCCCCTCCTGCTACTCCTTGTAAATCACCATTCCCTCTTAAGACAGAGTGAGAGAAGAATTGTATTCTGTCCTTTGTGCTCCGATCTTCCTCTCTTAAAGCATTGACCACTCTTTCACTCAGATCTCTCCATCAAACACACTTTTCTCTGATAGAAACTTTCATTTCTATTTCCCTGTAGAAAAAGTGTTCTCTTAAATGAAAAACATGCACTATCTTGAAATGTGTCCATTGTATGATGGTGATTGGGGCATTATTTGGACTGAGGGTGAAGAGGTAGAGGTGTGTGAGCGTTGGGGACTGAACTGGGCTGGCCAGAACTTTGTAGGGTCCCTGTAACGGGAGGAGCCCAGTGGTTGTGCCAAGATATTGGTACTTAAAGGGCTCTCCATCAGTACAGCTGGCTTGGTGTGCTGGAAAGCTGAGCCATCAGCTTCAAGCCTGGATGCCTGGGCTTGAATATATCGCGCCCAGGAGCAAAGTCGTAGGAGTTGAGTCTCGTTGCCAATGTAGTGGCATGTCAATGACTCCCAGTGATATTACTGCCTTGAAGTGCGAAGGAAACCCTTCAAGCAACAGTACCATAGTACAGAAGCACTGAACTACTCTCTACTTCAGGCCACCTGCTCAGCCGCAGTATTCCCACATACAGTCTCCCTTTACCCCAACCCATGGATCATCAGGGCAGATAACTTCTCTCCTCCACCTCTGATATACACCATCCTCTTCAACTCGTATCCCATTTTTCTCCCATCTCTGTCATTCACGTCCCTATTTGTTATCTGTATAGCGGTAGTACCTAAAAGCTGTGGTCATGGACCAAGACCCCATTGTGCTAGGTGCTGTGCACCCTTACAGCTTCACTTGCACATCATGCTTCCTCTTCCCATAATTCCAACACAGATGTCCCCCATGCTTCTCTGAGGGCCCACAGCAACCCCACATGATCCCTGCTACTCATCATGCTCCCTGTCACAGGGTGGCTGGCCCCTCTCTATGAAGTAGGTCCAGCATCCCTGTACCAGAGCAGTTCTCCCATTTGGCCAGCTAAGGGGGTGGGCTAGCACCTGGGGTCTATGGAGTATCAGAGAGACAGCAAGTGAATAGAATCAGTGAGGAAAGGCCAGCTGAGAACTTCCAGAGACTGTATGTTTGGGACCTACAAGAAGGCTGAAGGTAGGAGAGCAGCAAGAGGGGTTTGCTGAGTGGTGGTCCCCAAGTCAGAGAATTAGAGATAGAGGGATGAAGGCAGGAGGACCAGTAGCCGAGGGAGGTGCCTGCTGGTTCTAAGCCAGAGAGCTGGAACCAAGGGCCAGAGAGGGCTGAATGCGGGGCAGCAGAGTTCACCTGCTGACCTCTCCAGGGGCGGAAAGCTGAATCCAGAGGAACTATGAGAGGGCAGGAGGGGTAAGGGATGCTCCCCTGGCAAGGAGGCTCCCCAGCAGAGAGGCTGTGAGGGTTCTCATTGGGAAAAGTGGGGTTGCACTCCAGTTGGAAGGGTGAAGGTGGCTGTTCTGGTACAAGGACAGGGGAGGATTGACAGAGAGCGTGAGCATGTTTGAAGATGCCGGTGTGTGATGTATGGGATGTTACTGGATGAGATGTTGGGTGATCTTAATGACTGTTTGCACTGGGGTGAGAAATGAACTATATGTGTTGAGACTTCATTCAGGATTACATAAACTGTGTCTGGTAATAAACCGTGTGGATGGACTAGAGGATAAGCTTGCATGGAGTTATTGGGTTATCTGAGAGAGGAAACTGAGGCACAGATGCCTGTCAGGCTGTGTTCTGCCACAGAAGGGTGCTCCAGATGGGGCTGCCCAGTGACACTCCTCTCCCATGTTTAGCTCTTAAACGTTTAAACCAATTGACTCTGGTACTACTGAGTCTGGGAGGGAAGTAGGAGGGGCATGGTAAGCAGCAAGAATATGCCCGTGTTTGGGATGAGAGTGGAAATATGTGGGCTGTGGATGGTGGAAGGGGAGTTATTTGAGGTTTATGAGAGGGGTGTTGGATGCGTTTACTGCTTATTTCCTTGCTTTTCATGGTGTGTTTGGTTGATATGTGGAATACAACATAATTTGACACCACACACAAACAAAAATAAAATAAAAATGGTTAACTTTTAAGTCTTCCTTCATAAGTACAGCTCCTGTTGTTGTAGTTGTGGGACTGAAAGATGTGCAGAAAGAAATCCCCTATTTGTCCACAGGCAGCAACAATGTGAGCTTCCCCGCTCTGCTTTGCCAAAGTGCTTTTGTGCCCATTCAAATATTGGCCTCTGCTGAGACTGCCCAAAGAGAACCAACCACTGGTAGTTTTTTTTCACATGGACATTTGTTCACAAGAACTGGAGTGAGACCAGCTACTCATTATGGCCCTGATAGTAATGGCTTTATTTCATTCATCACTGATCTTGGTTGGATTTGAACCAATAATTGAAAGGTGAAGAATTTGTATTTGGTTGAAAATCCTCTGAGTGATTCTTGCAAGTTAAGCCTGCAGCCAAGTAATGGCATCACATAGCAGTTTGACTGTAATATCAGATAGAGGGGCAGTTACTATACGTGGAAAGGGAGATTGTTAGGGCATAATTCTTATTTCACTTACACTATTGTAATTTGGACTAGATTAAAGGTACATCAGTGTAAATGGGAGGAAAACTGGGTATATAGTAGAAATAACAATCTCCTCCTGGTGGGTAACTGGATTCCCCTAAATACTATAATCTGTCATCTAGAGTCAATGGAGCAATCCGGATTTATGTCAGCTTTACATGTAGCCCTGATTTTTTGTGTTTGTTTTGTTTTTACAGGACCAGGTTAAAAAAAACACCCAAATTTCTTCGCTGACAATATTCAGCAGCCTGGAGTTAAAACCATGGGCTCATGCAATATTATTACTGAGGATTGTTTCACGGGCAGTTTTTATTAGATACTAGTGTTTGGTATAAGTTCTTATCTGCTTAATTGTCTTTCCTTCTAGCATCCATTTTTGCTTCCAAGCTGATACCACAGCATGCACATGCTATGAAATCAAAGTCCTGCTGTATTAAAACAGTAGCAAAAAAAGGCA